CTGGCACGAGCTCTCTTGTTGTTGGTGGCAAGAGCGCTCTTGTTGTTGGTGACAAGAGCGCTCTTGTTGTTGGTGACAAGAGCTCTCTTGTTGTTGGTAGCACGAGGTCTCTTGTTGTTGCTGGCACGAGCTCTCTTGTTGTTGGTGGCAAGAGCGCTCTTGTTGTTGGTGACAAGAGCTCTCTTGTTGTTGGTGGCACGAGCTCTCTTGTTGTTGGTGGCAAGAGCTCATCGATAATACGACGAATTGTATCGATAGCATCTGCCATGTGTGGTTTCATAGAATCTGTGCAGTCCAATGCAAAAGCAAGATCTAAATTTTAAAAAGTTCACTTCCCTTTTTTTTTTATAAAGTTTTTCTAGAAGTGCACTTCCGTTTTTTTTTATAAAGTCACTTTCCAAAAATATACCGAGATCACGAGTGTTATGTACCACACGAACATCTGGATTGTCAACGCAAACTACCAAATACCTACCGAGATCACGAGTGTCAGGTACCGAACGAACACCTGGATTGCTAACGCAAGTTACCAAATACCTACCGAGATCACGAGTGTCAGATATCACGCGAACATCTGGATTGTCAACGCAAGGCACCAAATACCTACCGAGATCATGAGTCTCAGAGTACATTGATCAATCTTCTGTATGTACGCTTTACCAAGCAGAATTCTATAAGAAAATGGTATAATATGTCCGTATGCATAGATTTTTCGTTTTTTTCTTATTATCTTCTTCTCCAAATTACTATAAAAACTTCATTGTTATCACAAGAATAATAGAATTTTTATTTCTGTCAATATGTGTTGTTTCGGTTTAGATGCAAATCTGACTGATGAAAGAAATGTTTCGGGTAAGTGGTAGCTTAGAACTGTAGGAACGCTGCTTAGTCCCTTTTCTTTATAGATTCGATGAAAGAACAACTACTTGCATGTACTGAGCAGATGGTCATACAACCAACTGAAGTACATACAACTCTATTATTACAAAGCACCGGAGGTAAGTGTGTCAACTTCCTACAATAGAAAACTTCTGTCAAAATCATTTCTTTTCCACGAATATTCTAGCATATGAGACAACATCAGCTATAGAAACCGTTCAAATGCCAGATCGGTGATTATGGATCAACCAAATCGTTATCAACGGATACGTTACATTGGTGAACTTGGTCTAGAAGATTCAACCGATACCGGTTCTATTCAATGTGTTCAATCTAGATCGCATGAGCGAGGTTATCCGGCAAGAGCAGTAAGTTTCAGCGAAGCCTTACATTACAAATCATTAATTTTCCTTGTTTTTGTTCATCTTATAGATGACATCCGAGATGGAAGGATTCTATATGCACGTTGCTCTGTACACGCATGATGAAAAACCACATCCATTTCCACTGATTTCTGAGGATTGCAAAAGAGATGGCGAGGATAATTTAGTTATACATGAGAACCCAAGCGTCAAAGCTAATCTAATAGCACACTAATTATATTATCCGATAACCCTCAAGGATTGTTCAGATAAATGCAAGCGGTAAAGGGTAATCTTATTTTATCAGCTAACGATAATATAGAGCTTTAATCATGGTTTTAGGTATGCTATGAAAATACCAAAACCAAAATTCCAAAATTCATTTGAAACTAAAATTTATCATTTGTAAAGAACTTAATGGTAATTTAATCCCGGTGTCAGTAGCATCATTGAGTAATTTAATGGAATTTGGTAAGATTTTATATGACTTTTGGAAAACGCAGCTGTAAGCATCATTTATTTTTCAGGATGTGGACTTCCTAAGCCCGGTGAAGTACGAGTTGAATCTGTTCGTGCTAATGGTGGTGAATTGATGGAGATTCCTTTAGAAGTGGTACATTTAAAAAATCAGGCATGGTTACGAATAAGAGATTAATAAAAAGTATAACATACTAAAAACTCTCCTTTTCCTCTGTCTCTGTTATCCTAATACATTGTGAACTGTGGCTAAATGGACCAAAAATATGCAATACAAAATTTCAAACATCAGAAAATACGATTAGATTTGAATGTCCAGCGCAACGAAACATAGAATATCACGATTTACATATTCTATTACGAATAGAAAATGAGTATGAATCAGTTAGTTATGCGGAAATATGTCTATTATGATTCTATTATTGATGCAAAAATACTTACGTAAAACATACAGGTAAATATGGTCATACATCTTATTTTTCTGTTCTTGCTCTACGTTTCTCTTTTCTTTTCTGCAAGACATTCAAACTGTGCACACAAATGTAAAGTAAATATGAATACGTAGGAGAAATATTTATCAAAAAGCTTTGTGTTGCATGCTGTTATCTTTTATTATCGTCATGTCTGTTTCGCTTATAAAAAAATATAACTGTGAACAGTAACTATCGACTCGATTACAAAGACAAAGGATAGAAACAGCTAATGATTCAAATTCAGAATAAGCTATTTTACATAACGCACTACAGAGTTTTACAGAGAGGGACAGGTTCTAAGGACAAATAACTGTCACTTAATGTTTCACTGATGAAACATATCCGATCGTATTCGACCAAATCCGACATCAGATTTAATCACCTGCGTTTAGCTAAAAGAACGATCTTTACGATATTCTGCGTTTCACACGATACAAAAATCGTAACAAAACAACTAAAAATCATTCTGTTACTTACTTTCTAAACTTCAATTACGTCCCACACCAAAAAAGAAAAGAATTTTATTATTATGTGTGTGCTGCTTGCCTCCGCTTATATACTCAGAAAAAGGTCAAGTAAGTTGGAAAAAACTGGAATGGAAACAGAAATAAAATAATGACTTTTTCCATTTCTGTTCCGAGCAGGAGTAAGAGAACGAAAGAAAGCATTATGAAAGAGCTGAAAAAGTAGACTTTTTTTTCGCCAGACGGATTGAGCTAAAATTTTGGGTAATGAATAAAGACTATTAGTTAAACATTTTCTGAAAGTGTCATCAATGTTCATCGAGTTTTCTAGGTTTTCTGAGTAGCTGCAGTCTTCTGTTGCTTGGTTACAGAACAGAAATCCTATCAAATGGCACTTCTAGACGATAAAAAAAAGAGAAGAAAATATAATTCAACTATACAGATCAAATGTGCCGCTTTCAGTCTTCTCCTCCTTTGATATTGAAAAAAGCGAGTTTTGAGACAAGCTAGTTGAATGAAGATTCTTTTACTGCAAAATTACCCATAAAATGATATACTGAATCCGAATCTCAGATTATTTTGGATTCAGTATTTATAAGCAACTGAGGATTTTGACGGGATTTGTGGAAAACCGCCACAATAAAAACCATCTGGCCAAAGTCAATACTTTGCCTAGTCTAGTAGTGTGTGGAATAATAAGATCTCGAAGAAGTGAAGTGTAGTTTTCGAGGGAGGGGGCCAAGAAGAGCCAAAGTAGGTCTCCCGGCTACTCTTACCATGAAGAAGTAAAAAGTGTTAAAGACTTCATTATTACGTCATGTGGACAAACTTGGAAGCTGCTTTCATTTGAAGATGAATAAAGTCATGTTTTGTTAGCTTTTAAGCTTGGCCAACACGCTATAAAATGGGTGATATCTGTTAAGGTAGCTAAGGTCCAACCTACTTTCCGGTTTTCCCTTCGGGCCACGATATTCAAACAGGATATTACGGAGTTTATCTACAACCTTCTCTTGTTATGTATGTGCAAAGCATGTTTATAAAAGAAATGGAGTAAGCAGGAAAACAGGAAGATAGTAGAACGACAGAAAGAGTATACATTATTACATATTCGCAAAATGAAGGAGAAGGATAGACCAACAAAACAAAAACAGTAGAGAAAGTATAAAACTACACAGAACATGATTAATACTTTAATCAAATTTATTTTATTGTGATATTTCGACAAGTTCTCTTGCCATCATCAGACAATAAAGATTGTTATAAAGTGTCAAAAGAAAGAAAGAAAGAAGTATATATATATAGTAGTAAACGTAAAAACAGGAATTTTCTACATTATTCTACAATTTAATAGAAAAGATAAATAGAAGCTTCTTTTTTGTTCGAAGAACATTGTTTTAGCCAAAGAGTTTTAATTTATACTTAACTTCATTCAATGCTTTTTCTTGAGAGAAATGTGTGAGAAGACTTTCTTTTATGACTCTTCTTTTCCAAAGAGATTCTAGTGCTAAAACTTCACAATTGCTAAGGTCCATAGAATGTCCGTTTTCATTACAATGTTGGGCAATTTGAGAAGTAGGTTTATCTTTATGAATATCAGCTTTATGCTCCACCATTCTAGTAGTTTTTTCTCGATCTGTTTCTCCAATATACTTTTTACCACAAACTTTGCAGTTTATTGAGTAAACTAGTTTCTTCATTTTTCGTGTCTCATCGTTTCCTTTCTGAATGGGTAGTAGAACATTTCTCAATGTCGAAAACTTTCGATAGGCTAAGTTTATCGTCAAATTTGGCAAGAGTTTCTGTGCTAGTTTTTTGATTTTTTGTCCTAACTCGATTGTTTCATAGCCATAATACGACAAAACGAAATCGATTTTTTTCTTCTTGGGTGAATGAGGTTGAAGATCATTTAGTCTCTTATGAATTTCTTTGGCTTCTCGAATATCCCGACGAATTACGTGATTCGGATAACCATTTTTCTTTAATATTTCAAACAGATGATTTCTTTCCGCTCTAAGTAAAGTTTCGTTGGAACAGAGTCTTAGAGAACGAACATATAACGACTTGATAAGACCTAGTTTATATTTTCTTGCCTGATTGCTGTCATATAGTAAGAATAAATTGAGGGCTGTTAGAATACACAAAAAATGTGTAAAGTACTTTTCTCTACGAAGATGCGCCAGCAATCTTTTTCCTAGCACTCCTTCCACTTTTCTACTCTCTTTTCTACTTTTCATACTTTTCAAACTTTTCATACTATACTACTTTTCATACTTTTCATCGCTTTCATCCTTTTCAAACTATTCTACTTTTCATAGTTTTCATCCGTTTCACCGATTTCATACTTTCCATCTCTTTCATCGTTTTCTTCGCTTTCATACTTTTCATACTTTTCACCGTTTTCATACTTTTCAACTCTTTCGTACTTTTCATACATTTCATCTCGTTCATCGCTTTCATCGTTTTCATCGCCTTCATCGTTTACATACTTTTCATCTCTTTCATACTTTTCATACATTTCATATCGTTCATCGCTTTCACCGTTTTCATACTTTTCGTGGCTCTCATACTTTTCATCTCTTTCATACTTTTCATCTCGTTCATCATTTTTATCGCTCTCATCGTTTTCATCGCTTTCATCGTTTTCATACTTTTCATGGCTTTCATACTTTTCATCTCCTACATACTTTTCATACATTTCATCTCGTTCACCGCTTTCATCGCTTTCATCGTTTTCTTCGCTTTCACCGTTTCCATACTTTTCATGGCTTTCATACATTTCATCTCGTTCATCGCTTTCATCGCTTTCATCGTTTTCTTCGCTTTCATCGTTTTCATCGCTTTCATACTTTTCATGGCTTTCATACTTTTCATCTCCTTCATACTTTTCATACATTTCAACTCGTTCATCGCTTTCATCGTTTTCTTCGCTTTCACCGTTTTCATACTTTTCATGGCTTTCATACTTTTCATCTCCTTCATACTTTTCATACATTTCAACTCGTTCATCGCTTTCATCGTTTTCTTCGCTTTCATCGTTTTCATACTTTTCATGGCTTTCATACTTTTCATCTCCTTCATACTTTTCATACATTTCAACTCGTTCACCGCTTTCATCGTTTTCTTCGCTTTCACCGTTTTCATACTACCTTTCGGTTTCATATACCTTTCGTCGCTTTCATACTATTCATCCGGCTCATCCGCTTTCATTCTTTTCCGGGTCATCCGTTTTCATACCTTTTATCGCTTTCAAACTTGTGATCCGCTTCCATACTGTTCATTTGGCTCATCCGCTTTCATACCTTTTATCGCTTTCTTACTTGTGATCCGCTTCCATACTGTTCATTTGGCTCATCCGCTTTCATACCTTTTATCGCTTTCATACTTGTGATCCGCTTTCATACTGTTCATCCGGCTCATCCGCTTTCATACCTTCCATCGCTTTCATACTTGTGATCCGCTTTCATACTTTTCATTCCGGTCATCCGCTTAGATACCTTCCATACCTTTCATCGCTTTCGTACTTATGATCCGCTTTCATACTTTTCATCCGCTTTCATACTTTTCATCCGGGTCATCCGCTTTCATACGTTTCAACTCGTTCATCGCTTTCATCGTTTTCTTCGCTTTCATCGTTTTCATACTTTTCATGGCTTTCATACTTTTCATCTCCTTCATACTTTTCATACATTTCAACTCGTTCACCGCTTTCATCGTT